TGGAGGAAATAGGGCGGTACAAGCAACCAATCAAACTCGAGAACGGCAGACCACAACGCAATGCGAATCAAGGCCAGAGAGAACAAGCTACTAAAATTAGAAGCCGTTGGGGTAACCAATCAACACAAAGGAGCACAGACCACAACGCAACAAAGATCATAAACGTGCCAATAGATTCACTAAATTCGTTACACCTCACGTAGCCAACCGCGTCAGAAGATAACAGATAGCCTTCCTTCCACGCAGGCAAGAAAGAAGTACCCAACCAACTGCGCACTGATGATGTCTCCTCGTATGGTGACGAAACGTTTGCAAGCCAATTGCTAAGCTCGGCGAACAGATCAATGGCGGCCTGATCAACAACCAAGGGTCTGCCTACTCAACTCGTAGCTGCAGAATTAGATATAGGGCTTGTGTGAAATAGTGGCCAAAAGGATGCATTCACAAGACAGGCATATCATGTCAGATCACGAAATACAAGCGAAAAAAATACAGACACCAGTGACACCTATGAAGATTCTTTTTTAACACCATATGGATAATTTATTTGTCGTTTGTTTTATACTACTCATTAGTAGCTCAGGGTTGACGGTAAAACCTTGGCGAGCAGTGGTCAGCGTCTCATGAACCTACCTCATGTATTCGCTCGAAACGAATTCGCAATGAAGTCCAAGTACCAGCCTCTGGAGTCAGTTGGACAGAACTGCCACATGCTCCGAATTCCACAATCTCCAGGTCTTCACAGCAGTCTTGCAAGCATTCTGCAACATAGGGATTAAGTGGACCATGCAGAATAGTCCCCGCTAATGTGGAATGAAACTGGAGCACCAAAAATATTCCGGTGACGTATATTTGATGCTTCCAATCCATTCTCAGTTACAGGAGCAAGTACAGAACTAATCAATACTTCAAACGTTTCGGGAAACCACGTGACTTACTGTCTAGAGCTAGTAAAGACTTGCTGGAGCAGTATGTCACCCTGTCTGAGTATACCGCTCCTATTGTTGCTGTCCTCGATGTCAGATGTACCATTCTGTCTTCCGAATATTATGAACACAATAACAGGCACACAGACAATAACAGTCTATCTGATTTACAGAACATGGAGTGGATCTTTTTTTTGGTTTTATCCTATGCACATGTACCGGCGTACCAGCAAATCCTTTCAGACGAGTGTGTGCCATCACTAATAATGTCACCAGCTGATACTATTGTAACGGTGGATCCTACTGATGAGGCATGCGAGTAGTATGTTTTCTCGTAAATCCGCTTCACGTCTCTTGAAAAGTGAGATCTAATACGGAGTTTGTGGAGTTGTAGCATTTGCTCGCATTTGAGTAACAGTCAATGAATATCCAGGAAAGTTCAGGAAGATGCATGTAAACAAGATGCATATGTGAGTTTTGGCTCCCTGTCCAACAGTCTGTAACTGTTCAGTTGGTGTTTCTTCCTTTCACTATTATTGCTTGTTATTTTTTACGTTCACGAACACGCCTAAAAGTTCAGTCAAGAGATCTGGTCAAGGTAGCAAATGTTCAAGGAGAAAGGGTGCAACCACTAGTTTCTCAACGGTTTTCAAGACGCAAAAAAAGTTTGGCGTGGAAACATACGGGTAAAGACAAGCAGCTGAATAAGGTTAGAACAATACTCAGTCTTTTTTCATAAAGGAAACTACCCACAAGGCTGCTGAAAACTCTTTGACAGCATACGATCGGTTTTGCTCTTCTTGGGTTTCATCACTGCACCTACCTGAGGTGCAGTCGCGGGCTGTCGAAAATTTTTCACCACCTTGTGAGTGGTGACCAACCAACTGGAACATGAGGCGGCCTGTGTGCAGCACGTTCCGTTGAAGGACATCACAAACGAGAGATTCACTGGAGTCTCCAGTGAAAACCAAGTTGATTTGCAAATGAGTGTATTTGTCGCAACGCCCAGGTCACTTCAAGGTGCAGTAAGCGCCAGCATAGTCAAGATTCACGCATCAGGAACAGGGTCTCCTTTATACAAAGTCAGATGTAAAAGTTACCGGCAAGAAATAACACTTAGCGCCATCTACTATTCGTAGGTGGACAGCCCCAAATGGTGAACAATCGCAACTAATTCAATGTGACCCTAGGAAGATCCAGTTTGACAGTAGCCTTTGAGGATTGTTTAAATCAGATAACGTTATTTGAAATGATCATCGGCTGGTGAACGTTCAGCTGTAGCACGAGGGCTGGGATAGTGCCAGGTTGCCCAAGCCTAGACAGGGGAAGTCCAGAGGCGGAGGTGGGATTCGAATCATGGACCTTCCGGTCGCGCTCTCACCACTTGGGCCATCTCGCCCCATCGGCTGGTGAACCAAGAAACCATCATCACGTTTGATGGCACATGGATCTTAGCGTCAGAACCATACTGCGGGTTCTTCTCATTGCGCTCCCATCCGAGTCTATGCTTACGCCCATCCCCGTCGCTCGGCACGTTCTTCTCATTGCGCTCCCATCCGAGTCTTTGCTTACGCCCATTCTGAACAGTTACTAGGTCAGGCTTGATGAAAGACGCCAAAGTTAGTGAATCTCAGACTAAGGAGACGCTTTCCAAGTTTTGCTGCAGCCCGATTATGTCGAGCACCGATCCAGCACCGTACATGACCCAATAGGACTACGGCATAAACACCAAACTCTATGGTTCATCAGAGTTTTCACGATAAAAGATCGTCTGGTAACCATGCCCACAACTTCCGTAACCAGTTCCTGTCATCAACAGGTTATACCGGAGCTGGATACCTGGGGAACTAAGCGTTCTGGAGACATAAGACACCGATTCGAAAGAGGAAAAGTGACAAAGATACACATCGGGACAGTCGGCGCTCCTAAGCGGAACATCATCCTGAGCAGTCGCCATTTCCCCCTTAGTGTTTGCGCACGTATTGTGAATCCGGATCGGAAGGCTGAGATTCCGAGAAAACTTGTAAAATGCGGGATCATTAACCCAATTTTATAGTGTTCGGTACCATGTTGACATCAGCTCTTTCCGTACGCGCTTTCCTCCTTATGGAAATGGTTTGACTTAGTCTTTGGATACTAAGTGGATAACAGAGTGGTGACAGCTGATTCGGGTGTTCTTCATTAGACGAACCCAGAGATGAGGGTGTTTGAGTGAACTCGGCTGAGTACAGGCCAATGTATCAGCCCAAGTATTGGGCCGATAGTTCCTTCTTTCCTTCCTTCATATCTCCAGCCGCTGATGCTGCTGTCTAGAAGTGTGCAGTCAGGCAGTTTCAGCAATTGCTCTCGATGGCTGCAGGATTCGTCCCTCCGTGAAAGGAATCAGGACTCCTAAATAGGTCATGTTATCTGTTGGAAGCGACGAGTTCCTCAGAAATGCAACAGGACTCGACAAAACCCGCGGTATCCTAGTGTGTCGTGATCCAACTAACCATCAGCGATTTCGACTTCTGGACGTTGATCTTCACACAAACTCTCCCCAGCTCGGCCCCAATAGCTCCAAGCTTTGCACACACGAGACACAAGTCAGCGAAGTTAAAGCCCAGTTGTGGCATGCACAACCCTCGAGAATGAGCAGCAGTTTTGGGAACAAGAGGTCTCGCTGCCCTATTTCTACGGTAGTGAACCGTTGAATTAGGCCAAACCGTTGCAGCATTCTCACGGGACGATGGGATGTATCAAACTGGGAAGGATGGTGCTCCAAACGCAAGATAGAATCGAGGGTTTTTGAGCCGTCAGCACATGCCGAGCTGCCGTTAAAAGTAGTAGCTGAGGAGTGACAGAGCGAACCGTTCGACAGTGAATTGGTATCCCAACAAACGTTTTGACGTAGGTGTGTAAGCTAGGGTAAAGGCAGCTGGTGCCCAAAGCTACAGCGATCAGCAAGCACTTTGTGAAAGCATCAGACAAGTGTAGGTGTCACCGTACCTGATCTCAGTTGCTTCGATGAAGTCGGGCTTGAGACCTTCAGAATGAGAGTAAAGTGGATACAACAGAAAGCGGCGGGCAAGACCCGGCTGATAACACCATGTTGAAATGCCCAGCAAGGGCATTGGCAATGAACACGCGAAGTATTCTGGATGTCAGCATGTCCAAACCTGCAGACAAACTGCCCATCAAGTGGATCAAATGGACAAATCCCTCCCCGTAGCTGGTGGCAAGGTCAAACCCAAATTTGGTGACAACACTGTATGTCAGTTGGCTATTTACGTGCTTTTTTAGACAGAAGGTACCCATATAAAGTACTTTTCGGCTACAGTCTGCTTTGTATAGTTACTTCCATGACCCAGTAGACGCTGCATCTTTCCGCCTCCGTATGCGTTTGTGTGTGTGTGTGTGTGTGTGTGTGGAAGCGTACAGAGTGCGTGGATGTCCAGAAGCGGCATGACTTGCTCCGGTGTCATGACTACAAACTACAACCTTCGAAGGAAGCCCCAAGGTGAACACTGGGGAGGGAACCATCATGGTTGGCTTCCAAGGGTAACACAGTATAGTTTGTGTGAACTAGGTGAATCAGATGAATGTCAGCCAGTAGGTCAAGGTTCGGACAGATGTTCTTGCCAGTAGTATTGATACCGATAGCCTCTCAACCAGGAAAATATTGCTTTATTCTCAAAAACAGTGCGGTTTGCATAGCACAAGATGGATAATACTTGTCAGATAGGCGAAGGAGTGACTTTGACTCTTGTTGCGACCAGTTTGCACCGCAAGTCTTCACTCAGACAAGTTCATCTGCTCAGTGGGATGTGTGTCTTGGTGGCATTAACCCAGGCCAAGCTTCGTCAGAAACCGGCAGGAACACCCGGTAGAGGCGAGCTTGCTGACCATATTTATGCCGTCCTACATGGACGTGAATTCGACGGTCAGCTACGAAGCCATTTTTCGCTTTGCAGCGTTCGCCACGGTCCTCAGAGGTGAGTCAGAATACTCTTGCCTGGGTATTGGTGGAAACTAGTGCAGACGCACTAGTCTATTCGCGTTGTTCACCGTCAAAAGCAACCAGTACGATGAAACCAGGTAGGCCGGCAAGCCCTGCCAACTGAACAGTTACAGACTATTGTTTACAAAAACTGAATATCCATCCTCTCTTTGAACGCGTATTCCTGGACTTTTCTGGATATTCATTGACTGTTGCTCAAATCCAAGCAAATGCTGCAAAGCAACCCCACAAATTCCGTAATAGATCTGACTTTTCAAGAGACGCAAAGAGGATTTGCGAGAAAACATGCTACTCGCATACTACTCAGTAGTATCACCGTAGCACCACGACCACATTCGGAACACCGTCTCCTGAGGGGGAAATTAGTCAAATTCAGAAATACCTCAGATACATGCTGCCTAGTATCTCTTTCAGCTAATTTTCTTTGTTCAAACTTGAAATATCTCGTCACGAAGAAGCCAGTCATCCCCCACTTGAGTCAAATCTGGGAACACTGAAGCGAGTGGAGTTGATAATCTGCCGATTACACAAACAGAAACTCAGATAGAGTTTCGTCTGAACTGTGTGTAAGAAGGATGCCTTAATAAGTTCAGTCTCCAAGATTCAAAGGTCTATGTTGGACGTGGAAAAAATGGTGAACACAATGTGAGTGGATTCTGGACCACTTTCGTGCTTCATTCCTAAGGATCAAATATGACATTCCATAGTTATTTTGACCACGTATTGCAATACTGGCTTCTGTTTCAAGGAATGGTTGAACAGTTTTACAAACGAGAATACAAACCAGATCTCCTCCTATTGGAAAGTAATCGAGAAACATGGAAAGAAAGATTACTGCTACTGTATTCTATACCTGTGAGCCCTTCAAAACATCCATCCTGCAACGTAACAGAAGTATGCGTACACTTTCCATGTCACAGGGCATCTAGGATGAGGCAATCGCC